TTCTTTATCTTCATTCAATGAGGCAGTAGAACAATGGAAAAATGGCTCCATGAATCGTAAAATTTTAACAAGATCTGATTACAATGATATAAAAACTACATTACAAGGCTCAAACACCCAAAAAAATGCTAACCAAAGATATAACATCAGAAACAAATTTGTTCTCCAAAAAATTGGAGATAATGAAATTGTTATGTGTATATGTAAAAATCAGACAAAAAAAAATGATGATAATTTAAAACCGTTATTAGTAAAAGAGGAGCTTTACCAAGTATTTTGTAAGGCCCATTTACAAAATAACCATGGAGGCCAAAACCAAACTTGGAATAATATTAAAAAAACATGAGGTGGAGTTAAACAAGACCTAATTGAGTTATTGGTCAAAAGGTGCCCTACTTGTTCTAGCAGAAATAACATTAGACAATTAACAGTTGCTGGAAAACCAGCAAGAGTAGCCTATACTTGTTAAATGAAAGTATATTTATGTCTTCTTTTTGTTAAAAATTCTCCTTCCACATATATAAAAAAATGGTTAAAAAAAAATTTAACTGGGAAAAAAAGAAATTGGTAGGGGAATGGGATATCTGTTAGAAAAATTTTTATTTTTATTTTATTTTTACGTTGTATAATTAAAAAATTTTGAATTCACAAATTTTTTCATATATTAATATTAATATGTGAATTTGAATTTCAATTTTCACATATGTGGATTTCAAATTCACATAATTTCAATTTCACGCACAACATCACTAAATAAAATAACTATATTCCATATTAATTTTTTTTTTTTAATGTCTAATAAACCACTTATCTTATTCGGATGATATCATCAATATTGTGAGCCAAGAACATTGGAGAAATTAAATCATTTCGCCACTTATATTTGTATCTTGTTCTAAATAGTTACGTGGCATATATATGTATGTGTGTATTCTATAAAAATAGTATGTAATCTATTATATATTATATAGTTGTTCACTATTTATATTTATATAATGTCATATAATTAATTATTATCATTAATATCACCAGAAAGATTGGAACTTGTATTTAAATTTTATAATGAAATGCATAATAACACATTGGTTAATTCTGATATAAAAGTAGAAAAGATTATTTTATTTCACTAGTAAAAAAAAAAACAAAGAAACTTTCTGATAATGAAAATGAAATTTGTAAAGAAAGGGTTATAAATGAATGTAACAAGTGTAAATTGCCAAGATACTCTGATAAATTCTGTAAGAATTATATTAGTTTACAATTACAGAGACTTTTCACTACATGGACATCTGGAAATAACATAATTGATGATTTTATTCAACAATGTCAAATGAAATCATCTTTGCCAAACAATATTTTAGAATGGATGCCTTTTGAACAATTTGGTTATATGACAAAGTTAACTGATGGTGGATTTAATTCAATTTATGCTAATATATGGACTAGAGGAAGCATTGGTGATTATGATAAAAGTAAAAGGAATTTAATTATAATCTGTTGAAACAAAGTCTGTTGAAACAAGGGTTATACTGTAACTTACTATAGAATTGACACGCAATGATTAGCACACAAAAGCCTGTACCTAACCCTTGTCTAACATACTATGTAAAAGTCATTCTAAATACCAATATTGACTAGTATGTGCATTTCAAACTCAGACACTAAAGACAGCTCAAACATACTTTATTTTATTGCTAATATCATTATGTATTGCTATTATGCATAGTTAACTTCAAAGTCATAAATCGAAAAAAAATTAGGTTAATACAACCTTATATACCAATATTGACATGCCTATGAGTGTTTCAAACTCGGGCAATAAATACAATTCGAAGGCATTATGATTTTTTTCATTTTATGAAATGTAATAATGAAAATTTTTCTCCATATAATTTGATGTTTTTTTTTTTTGCATAAATATAATAAAAGTAATACCATATACACTATATGCAACAGTAATTCACAATTTTTTATCAAAAAAAAAAGTAAAGTGAATGTTATGATGTTGAAATGACAACTTCAGGTCTTCATTTAATAAAACAAAACTCTCTGTGATAGAAGCACTATTTTAATTAAATGCTTTGGTAAATGCAACAAGTATACTAGTGCCAACAATTGTGAAGCCTTAGTAAAAATTCATGGTTTTTTTTTCAGTAAGTAAGCAAGGGTTTACACTGGCAGTTGTTAACTATTAAGTGTTAGTAATGGTTAGTAAAGCATCATCTAAAGGTCAATTGTAAATTTAAGGCTCTTCTTAAACAAATTGTTTTGGAAATAAACTAAAGTGAGTTTGCAATTAGTCAAGAAATGTAAACAACTGAAATAAATTGGTCACAAGCAAATAAAAAGGAACTTTATAAAGGCATTTGAGCTTTGTAAAAGAGCCATCTTTATTTATTTAATTACAGTTATCAGGTACAATCAAGTGTGTTTACAGATTTGCATATGTACAAGAAAGAAGCAGTAAAATAAATTTGTAAACTAATCGATTGACAATGAACAAATTATTTGCAATTAACTGACAAGAGTAGCCCAAAAGTTAAGCCATACATGTTAAATAATCAAAAGGTTGCCAATTAAAAACTTATAAAAAAGGAAATATAATAAGAAATAAAGTAAAGATAAAATAGATAAATAATTATAATAAATAAATTTATAGTGAAGATTAAAATTAATCATTCATCAATTCCTTTTCTTTTACTATAATGTTTATTGAACAATTTAAATGTAATAAAAATATTAATAATTAATGGATGGGAATTTCCAATTGATATAATAATGAAGTTTTTATTCACCTTCAGCAATATTTAAAAGAAAAAAATTAAAATCAAGATCATTTAATGAACTATCATTACTTGTATAACTTTTTAAGTTTTTTGATTTGGCAATTTCTTCATC